GGTCGCTCACGACGCCGCCGTACACGGAGGGCGTCGAGTGGACGGTGGTCAAGACCGTGCAAACAATGACGCAAGCGCAGTTTGACACGTACAAGCACAAGATTCACGAAGACAGCGCGCGCCCGGTCCAGCCGCTCTACGGCCGCAAGGTCACGCTCTTCCAGTCCCCATAAGACCTTGTCGAGTCCCTGTCAACACGACTCGTTTCATTTTCGACGTACTTATAACGATTTTGTGGTGGTGGCATACTGTACCTTGGCGATAAAATATGACACAGCGGGTTTTGAACTCACAGGAATGGACGTTTGACGGCAGCCGATGGTCTCCAGCAGGACTACCGCATTACTTTTTCAAATGGTGCTTGACCGCTCGACCTACCACGTGGAAAATGATGTTTTAGAAGAGCGAATCTTGTGCAAGATAAAATTGACTAGAACATGTTGAGGGCATATCATGGAATGTAGCGCGATGTGGGATCCCTCGGAATCGTTTCAGATTTGCAAGCGGACACGCGCCACGCGGTGTGTCCTTGCGCTGTCGGAAGGTGGTCCCGGTTCGCCGTATACATCGTCGTGGAAGGAACCCCAAACGATCGAACCATGGAGGCCAAAGCGCACGAGCGAACGCGAAGACAGGGTGTTTGCATCCAATAACCATGTATGATTATGTCCCTATATGTAGTGTCACCCAATGGTGTACGTAATTCGCGTTGTGGTGTTTTTGCAACTTCGAAAATCCATAACATAGTGCACGAAGGCGAATCTTCGTCAAGTAGGTTGAAGCGTATCACTTCCCAATCGCCCTACGCGTGTCGTCTCTCGCACCGTGTGTCAAAGCTTGACCGCCTTTCTTTGTGTCGCCGACCGTGCTACCTACTAGTACACTGCAGTCAAGTCCCCAATTCTGTTGGCGACTGGAGTTATTGTCAAATCATGCAATTTTCCTTTCTTCAAAAGTCGTGGCAATCACTTCAGCTCGTTCTCGCTTCGAAACAAAGTTCTGGCACCTCGTCTTGCTGGCGCAAGCCTGTCGTCCGCCAAAGATAGAGAGATTGGATGATGGCCGGAGCGCCACCCTTGTGCTTGGAGCAAAGCGCGTTGCGAGGTAGGACAGAGGCACTCGGTCGTGTCTACGGGCGATTGTCGGTCCGTTATCGTTGGCTACTACATTGTACAGTACTGTACTGGTACTACTACACGGCAGTACGAAGAGTAGCTGTGTTGCCCGTCGCGCACCCAAACCACAGCAACTTCACATATGTACACAGCCCTCGGCTTCACCGAGAGCGTCCATAGGATCTGTTGCAGCTCACCGTCTAGGTCTTTTTTGCTGCTGATTTTCATCGCATAGACATGGTGCCTTGAATGTGATGCGCGCATCGATATCTCAAAGTTATATCCCCAACTTGGACGACCTTGAACGCAGACAGACCGGATGGCCTTGTGGCGACACAGCTGGTTGTGGACATGTGCTGTTCCATAACCCATCTGCTTCGACAACGAATATCGCTTTCGGTGGGTGCAGATTGAGAGCAGCGAAGTCGAAGCCGCATTTCCCCCTTGGTTCAAACTCCTCACAATCCATTTCCACACGCAACAGCTGAGATCATGCGCCTCTTTTCAACAACACTTCTCGCGCTGGCGGCGGCCGTCGCTGCCGTCTGCCCCGACCCGGAGCTCAAGTCGCAGTCGCCCATCGATTTTCCCAAGCTGGACGCGACGCGCAACGTGAAGAACGTGACCATGTCGTTCACCAATGCTGCCGACGGCGTCATGGCCAACGAAGGCGAGACCATCAAGGTGTTTTGGGACGGCGGCAAGGAAGCGTCATTTGC